TGAAAGGCGACTTAGTGTGTCAGCAGTAATGTTATCTATACCTTTGCAATGAACAATTTTGAAGTTATATTCTTGTATAGTGAGTATCCATCTGGCTAATCGGTTATTTAATAGGCGGCAAGATTTTAAGAAAGTAAGTGCGTGGTTGTCTGTGATAATGGTTAATTTTGTTCCAAGGATGATATATCTAGACTTCTGTAGACAATAAATTATGGCAAGGAGTTCCTTTTCAGTCGTAGTGTACCTCTGTTCGAATGGTTGAAGTGTTCTGTCATTTATGTCGTCTTCGGCGTCGTCGCTTGAACTCGACATTCTATTCAGAGACGGGTAGTTTCGTTTAGGCCGTAAATTATATTTATTTTCCGACATTTTAATGTAAAATTGGTTAGGTCATGCGTGGTTATTAAATATGTGATGTTGTGTTGATTATTTTGGGAAACAGGGGCAATTACGGGACAAATTAACAACGCAAACTCTTAAATCTAACAAACTTATAGGCTAGTTATGGTGAGAATTGCAATAAAGTTAATGAGCTATTCAAGCCAACACGTTGGTGCGCCAATTTGTAAATTCACCTTAAAATATTCATTTTAGGCTAGGCCTATTCTACAAATGTTTAAAGTTAATAAGTTAACAAAGATATGGATTACAAAATGTGTTTTATTTAAACAAATGAACAATTAACATGCAATGAGAAAAGGCTTGACGTTACAATGAAAGGATTGACAATGGTGTATGGGGTTGAAATTAAATTTAAATAAAAAAATAAATTTGAATAATAACTTAAAGGTTCAAATAATTTAGATGTGACATCTCTCAGGGTAGGGTGTCGTGCTGGCTTGAATGCTGATAATTAATAAATTTAATAGCGTCCAAAAAGGTCTAATTAAAGTGTTAAATTTACACAATCTCAACAATGGAAAATATAATTTTGGTGTTGTACAAAAGGTAAGTCCAATTAGTACAAATTTAAAAGAGTTTAAAGAAAAGGTTATACTTAATTTTGAAGATAATGATTGAGTTGAGTCCTCTTGAGGTTTAGGCTAAAAAAAACTGTGATATAACTTGAAACTGGTCTTCTTGATAAATGAATTTGATTTAGGTAAAAATTTTGAGTCCTTCTTCTAACAATTTCAACTTCTCAATGGCTTCCTTCTGTTGCGGGCTTAACAGGTTCTTTACAATAAAACTTGGCGATTTTATAATAACTATTTATTTACACTAATATTCTCTATTTACAATATTTGCAATTTCCTAACACCTAACTAACCCTATCTAAACCTAGCTAATGCCTATTCTAATTTACAATGTTTCTACTTACAGCTAGCCTCTACAGGATTTATCACTACTTCTGTCACAACACTGTCACTAGTGTCACTACACTGTCTCTACACCGTCACTACACTGTCACTGCCACTAGCACTAGCACTGGTCACTAACACCGACGGGCGCTTGCTAGGACGATTCTCGGAAGGCTCAACTCAACTCAACTGCCGTGTGCCGGAAGACGGTCCCTTATATAAGTTTGCCGTGGAACATTCTGGAGACCCCTGGTAGCCTAGACAAAGGTGTTTACGCCGTAGAAGTGTAGAAGGTTCTAGGGCCCCTATTGAGGTAGTACGTTGACATGGGTCTATTGTCTATCAGTGGTGCGCTAGAAACCCGTGTAAACAAACAACCCTTTTTGAGACGGCGCCTGGCTATTGTTGCGCGGGGCTCCTGACTTGTAACACTACCCCCTCCTTAAGACTGTTCTGTCCCAGAACAGATTTCCCCTGAAGCTTGCGATCTTCTGGTCCACCGGAGGTTCCCCATGGGTTGTATACGCAGAGCACAATTTCGATGCCAGTGTCCTCGAAAAGTTCCTGCACCATATTTCTTACAGTCTTCCATTCCAGTCCGTCGTAACCACATCCCAGCCTGGGAATAGCAAGCTTTTTGATTCCAATCCGAAGAAGTTTGTCTCGCAGGTCTTGCAGGCTTTTCTTCAACGATTCATAGGAGGGCTTCTGGCTTGACGCTTCCTTCGTAACGAGGTAGAACAAATGCTGTCCATTGCGCTTCAGGTGAAGGGTGGTGCCAATGGCGGGTCTCTGACGCTCAAGATCTTCAGTCCCTCCAAACTTTTTCTTGAAGACTGTGGCTATACCTCGCGACGCTCTCAGGTCTTCTGCTACGCAGTGGGCCAAGGCATATTCCACTGGCAAAGTGAAGAGGTCCTTGTATAACAGCCTCGGTCCTTCGTTCCCACGTCTCTCAGGCACGGCGTCTTTTGGCTCGGTCGATAGGTTCCGAACTTGTTGTTCCTCTCGTTGGCCATGATCTCCGTTGTAGGGTGCAAGCCTGTTGAAATGGATTAATATGGGTTTGCCGTCTGGTTGCCTCTTAATCCGGTAGATGACGTCATCTAGACGGGAAATAACTTCATAAGGTCCTTCCCACGAGTTCTGGAGATTTGGCGAATATCCACGACGCCTTCGGGGATTGTGTAGCCACACGAGGTCTCCAGGTGTGAAGCCTCCTTTCTCGGCCTTCACGTCGTACCTCTCCCTCATCCTGTCACTTGCTCCAGATATATTGCGACGGACTTTCTCGTCCATCATCTTCCCGTTCTTTGACAAGGGAGCCACATCCTGCCACGATGATCTTCCTTTATTGCCTATCTTCCACTGCATAATGTGCCTTAGGTCTGGGTCCCCCTTCTGGTCCTCTGAAAGCTTCTTCTCGTCCTTTTCGTCGTTAATGAAGATCACACGACGAACCGATGCACTGTAGTCTTCCTTGCGCGCACAATGATTGCCACTGTCTCCATATTGTTTTCTGAAGAGTGCATCCGCCTTCTTATGGCCCAGCCCAGTGCGATGATTTGACTCGAAGTCATACTCCTGCTTCGATCCTGGAGGGATTGAATGAGGCTTAGTCCGGGGACGCCCCATCTCTCCGCAGTTCCAACAGCGTGCCTGCCGGTGACGATTTTTGAGTGCCTCCAGAACTCTCTCTACCAGGTCCTCGATGTCCAGTGGAGTTGTAGGTTCTGCGTCTGCCACACGGACTCGAGCCTGACCTCTCACCGACTGTCGTACAGCCTCGAACTCCAGCGCCAGTGTCAGTGCGTCACTCCGTGTCTTTGGTCTGGCGAGCTTCACTGCCTGTTGAGTCTCAGGTTCACGTAGTCCGTCTAGGAAATTATCCACTGCCAAGCTCTCGTAGACATCATCCGTGACCGATGGATAGGCGTTTCTCACCAGACGAGCAATGTCGGCTTCGAACTCCTGAAGTGACTCGCTGGGCTTCTGGATCCGGTTCCGCAGCTGTGATCGGTAGAGCTGGTCCATATGTCGATGTCCAAAGCGCATGTCCAATCTTCTTACTAATTCTGCGAAATTCTTCCGCTCCGCCATTGGCATAGCATGCAGAACAGCTAATGCATCGCCCCGTAGTGCAAGACACAGTGTCGAAGCTTTTGTCTCCTCGGTCCACCCATGGACCATAGCCGCTGTCTCGAATAGAAGCATGTAGTCCTCCCAGGGAGTCTTGCCATCGAAGTGAGGAACGACGTTCTGAGGGGCAACGGCAGCAATGGTGGGCGCTGGCTTGGAGATCGTTTCAAGGGCGTAACCCTGCTGAAGTTCGCCAGTGCTAGCCGATGACGCAGGTGTGAAGCTCCGAAGTGAGGTGTGAAGCCTCGATGCAGCCATCTCCTGCCGAAGCTTATCAACTAACCTATCTTCTAGATTCTTTTCTATACAGTTAACTTTCTCATCGATTTCATTCATTCTACTTTCTAAACTATCAACTTTGCTAGAATACTCATCTAATTTGTTCAGCATTTTTGATTCTACATTCGACATTTTTGTCTCAATGTTAGCTTCTAGGTTTTCTAACGCTTTACTAGTTTCTGACATTTTTGACTCAATGCTAGCTTCTAAGTTTTTGTTATTTTCTGAGATTTTTGCCTCAATATTAGCTTCTAGGTTTTCTAAAGTTTTACTATTTTCTGACATTTTTGACTCTAATGTTTTGCTATTTTCTGACATCTTTGACTCTAGGTTTTTTAAGCATTTTATTGATATCAGATGTTTCAAATAAAAAGTTATCTGGGTCTTCACCTGCATCAATTAAAGCTTGTTTAAGGCGTGCCTGAAGGGCTGATTTAGTTCCACTAGTATCAAGATCTCGTTCTTCTAATTCTCTCCTAAGATCAGCTACTTTTAACTCATCAAGTTTCACACCTTTGAAAGCCATTTTTATGCCAAACAATTAAAATTATTTTACAATAAATGATTTTTTCCTTTGTAAACAAATTTACGACACAAATTACTAATATGTAACTAAGACCTCGAATCTTACTAATATCTAATACAACTAAAATTAAACTCAAGATTTTACAATTAAAATCGCCAAAATAATGCCGCTTTCTGACACCAATTGTTGCGGGCTTAACAGGTTCTTTACAATAAAACTTGGCGATTTTATAATAACTATTTATTTACACTAATATTCTCTATTTACAATATTTGCAATTTCCTAACACCTAACTAACCCTATCTAAACCTAGCTAATGCCTATTCTAATTTACAATGTTTCTACTTACAGCTAGCCTCTACAGGATTTATCACTACTTCTGTCACAACACTGTCACTACACTGTCACTAGTGTCACTACACTGTCTCTACACCGTCACTACACTGTCACTGCCACTAGCACTAGCACTGGTCACTAACACCGACGGGCGCTTGCTAGGACGATTCTCGGAAGGCTCAACTCAACTCAACTGCCGTGTGCCGGAAGACGGTCCCTTATATAAGTTTGCCGTGGAACATTCTGGAGACCCCTGGTAGCCTAGACAAAGGTGTTTACGCCGTAGAAGTGTAGAAGGTTCTAGGGCCCCTATTGAGGTAGTACGTTGACATGGGTCTATTGTCTATCAGTGGTGCGCTAGAAGGGGCAGACTCAACTGGTCCCGTAAGCCAGGTACCCTACTTCTACTGGTCCTGGTCTCAAGTAAGGTCTCTTAATCCGCACTTCCACTGGTCCCGTCGGCAGCCCCTTTGTAATTTGTCTAACAGGATTACGGCTAGTGTTTGTATAGCTATCAATGCCCATTCATCAGTAGGAGGAAGGCCTGAGGTGTTTCGCTGTCTCTAAAAACACATGTTTGGAGAGTGTTTGATAGACTCAGATAGTGTTACCAGTAACATTAAAAAGTACAGCATTAATGTTTATATACTTGTGAGTGTTTAAATGGTGATTCAGCGAATGAGTTTCAGTAATATGGCAGGTTATAGAATTCATTGCGTTTTAATTCCTAGGGATACTAATACACAGTGTTGTGAATAATTTACGATTATTTCATGCTGAAAATATTTATTATAAATACAAATACGTTAAGAAAATAACTGAAAAAATATACAAAGACATGTGTTTAAAAACAATACATAAATAAAGATGAATATTTACGATTAAATAATTACTATGTACATTTAAAAAACATATTTCACAAAAATTGACTTTAACATTGATAAAAAACCAGATAAAATACGATGATATATAAAACGAAATTGCGGATAAGATGTATTTACAATTGATAACAAAACAAAAACTGATAAAATACAAGAAAAAACCGGAAAATACGACAAACTGTATGCTTACAAAGATTTTACAAACAAACTATATTACAAATGACTAAAAACTATATTTACAGACTCTATACCCCTCAACTAGCCTAAATCTCTCTGGGTTGGGAAACATTTGAAACACATTTTAAAAAAGTGACCTGGTCAATCTCCCCTTTTGAAAGAGAATCTAGTTTTTTGTCAATGAAGTCTTTCATTGCAACAGTCTTCTTTTTCCTCCACGTTCCTTCTCTCCCCTTAACGCTGTTCAAACCAATGTATGTGTCTATTTGAGCTTCCTTCAAGGTATGTAAAAAGTTGAAGATGTTGGGGTGAGCTGCAGAGCAGGAAGCATTGAACTTTCTGTGGAAGCTCTCGCAGGTTTTTATGGAATTTGCATAAAATATTTAAAATAGCTGCTAGTTTTAAACCTTTAGGTTTAAGACGTTTTATTAATTTTTTATACAAATAAGATAAACAAAAAATTAGAAAATAATTTATAAATATGTTGAGAGAATAAATACTTGTAAGATTTAAAACAAAATATGTGGGGCGCATGCAATTGATCATAATAGTTCGATAGGTGAAGTTAATTGTAAATTAGCATGCTCCCCACGTTTTCCGTTTTAAATCTTACAAGTATTTATTCTCTCAACAAATTTATAAATTATTTTCTAATTTTTAGTGCGCTTAAAAATGTGGCATTTTCAACAATTATTTTTATATATAAATTATGTTTTAATACATACAGGATGGATGGACCAAAAACGGAATGCGTTAGGACACATGTTTAAATAACATTTATTGATTCTTTATTGGCTTATAAAGCTACACTTAACCGTATTAACCGTATCAAAATCATAGATAACGAATGAAAGAACTAACTAAAGGGTTTTAGGCATAAAAGTAGATTTAAGATGAGGATAAAAAGTTAACTAACAGTAAGTTATAGTGTATTATTATAAATTTATTAGCTTTGCCCGAGTTACACCACACCACAAATTGGTGTCTAGGACAAATAAAAATGGTGGATTTAGAAAACTCTCATTTAAATAAATAAATATATTTACAACATTTTATCCTATTATGATCATAATGATTTTTTCCTATAGAGATTATGTTTTTTGGAAAGCTTCTTAATTTAGTAATTAGTGTGACGATTTTAAACTAGTTTTGTTTTATGGAAAACATTAGACCAAAATAGCAATACAAGATTTACAATCCATTTATTCTTTAGTTAGACTATAATTAGATTAAATGAATTACGAAATGTAAATAAAATACGGCTAATAACACTTAAAACACATGTACTGTTAACTCACAAGACGGTAAATACCGTACATAATATAACAGATTAAGTACGTGTTGATTGATTTTGACGGAACATCATAATCATCATCAGATTCGATAGGGGAATGTAATTTGTTATTGGACTATTTATATTTACTTTGAGTATGTTTACTAACACGTAAATTATTGGTCAAGAAGTTATTTATAACACAATTTTATTGAATTCACATTTTCTTATTTCCTCTGTTAAAAAGGTTTTTATTAGTTTAAAACTGCGTTTAATAAAATGTAGGAACACAAAATAAATATTTACTTACCATTTTTCGTGCACCTCCACCGTTCCTCCACGAAGACAGGTCCTCGCGTGTCATTTCTGAAGGTCGCACCATCGTGCTCTATCAAAATCGCCCCCCTTTGGCTAAACACTTTTTTCAACATATTAAATACACTTGCAACCTTCACTCACTAACACAAACACACAACTGACCTATTGACTAAGTGTATCGGGTATTTATTGGGAGAAGGGGCAGCATATTTGGACTTTCCGTCATAATGGTGCATTTTTGAAGGTAGGTGAGTGCTTCGAAACCCCAAATTCGCGACATTCTTTGATGCCGAGAGCGCTGCAAGTATTTGCTGTTGTTGACGTGTAGAGTGAAGTGATGCATTGTTTAGAGCTTCGCGATGGGATGATGACCTGGCGAGGGAATTCCAAAATTCGCACCATTCATTGCCGAGGACAGGACTGCAAGTATTTATTGTTTGTTTACATCACGCTTCATGCCTCATTGCCCCACTGGATTAGCCGTCCCAAAACTACCTGGACCTCTTGGGACCAGTGGAGTCGTTTTATTGCCCCAACCTTTTTCGACCCTCGGATTACGGGACCAGCTAACCATTACCCCGCTAGAAACCCGTGTAAACAAACAACCCTTTTTGAGACGGCGCCTGGCTATTGTTGCGCGGGGCTTGTAACATTGTCCTGACTTGTAACACTTCTCTCTCCATTCCAATGTTCACATCACTGATTGTTGAACACATGGGATCACTTTCACTGCTTCTTAAATTTTGATTCCTTAAGGACTAATTTTGAAATGATATTATAAGAAATTTTGATGTATTGCAATTCTCTTACATATTTAATAAATAATTAGGTTGTGGGTGTTGTAAAAAAAAATATAGGCTATGGAATGAATATTATTAATGATTAATTGAACATATTAATGAAATGATATAAATTAGGAAAATGAATATTAGGGCAGCCTTTCTGAGGAGTGATTATTAGGTGTATGAATAAAAGTTAACATAAAAAAAAAAATTTAATACTAAATAATGAATGAAATGAAATGAAATATTACAGTAATCCATGTGGACTCGCTGCCAATTGCGTTTTGGTATTTCCCAAACATGGGTAGGAGCCTTCTCTGGATTTTTCTTATTCTCACAACATGCCTTACAACTTGCCACCATACTCTCAATATCCGTATCAATGTTTTTCCAGTAACAGTAGTTTCTTGCCAGACTCTTCAACCGCACTATTCCTACGTGTGTTGAGTGTAATTCTTGGAGGATTTTAGGTTGTAGCTTTTCTGGAATGATAACACGATTTCCTCTAAAAATAATTCCGTCTTGAAGTGATATTTCTGGGTCAGCGACTTCTCCGTTTAGGAGCTTTTCCTTTAAGCGAGAGAGTTCTTCGTCAAGTGATGTTTCTTTTTCTATGTCTTTAGCCATGATTGTATCGGTTGCTATGCAGTGTATTGTCTCTCTTCGAACAGTGTAATCTTCGTCAACCACATTTATATTCTCTTCTTTTATTGGCAAGGGATGTCTTGAGAGGTAATCTGCATTACAGTGGTCGTTTGATTTTTTATGTACGATCTCATAATCAAATCCTGAAAGAAAATGAGCATATCTAAGCATCCTGGATGAAGTCAACAATGGTAGTTTCTTGTCTGGATGAAATATGGTCATCAGTGGTTTGTTGTCAATGGCAAGAGTAAACTTCCTTCCGTATATATAATCGAACATTTTTTTACACCCCCAATATACAGCAGTTGCTTCTCTGTCCAATTGGCTATAGTTGCTCTCTGCAGCAGTGAGGGATCTGCTGGGAAATACAATAGGCCTCTCTTCATTATTTGGCATTTTATGAGACAGCACAGCTGATAAGCCAACAGGTCTAGCATCTGTAGCAAGTATCACGGGTAAGTCTGGGTTGTATGGAGTAAGGACTGTGTCACTTGCTATCTCTTCTTTAACACAATTAAAAGCTTTTTCACATTCCTGGGACCAGTGAAAACGTTTTTCTTTCCTTAGAAGCTGATGTAAGGGATTTAGCAGTGTAGATGCATCTTTGATGAACTTTGAATAGTACTGTACTAGTCCAAGGAATTGACGCACTCCTGTGATATTTGTTGGACGGGGAGCATCCTGGATTGCCCTCACCTTTTCTGGTGATTTCTGGATACCGTCTTTGCTGATGATATGACCCAGATACTGCACCTTTCTCTCAAAAAATTTGAATTTTTCAACATTCACATGTAGATTGTGTTGTTCCAATTTTTCTAAGACCTTTATGAGCCTGGATTTGCATTCTTCAAAAGTGCATCCTTGTACAACAATATCATCAAAATAAGCCACTGTCCCTTCAAGATTTTGTACGACTTGGTCAATAAATTTATGAAATTCATTTGGGGCAGTCTTAATTCCGAAAAACAGTCTTTTTGCTAGATATGTACCCTTATGTGTGGTAATTGTCTGGATCTTAGAACTTTCAGAGTCCACTGAAAGATGTAAATAAACCTTGTAAATGTCTAAAGTGCAAAAATAGTTTCCATTTCTCATTTTATTAAGGATATCCTCTATTCTTGGTATTCGATAACGACTGTCATGTAGTTGTTGGTTCACAGTTACCTTGTAATCCGCGCAAATACGGACCGCTCCATTTGCTTTTGGAATCACAACAATCGGTGTTCCCCACTCAGATTGATCCACTTTCTCTATTACGTCTTCTTTTTCAAGTTTATCTAGTTCATTCTCAACAGCTTCTCGAAGAGCATGAGGTACTGGTCTGGGTTTTAAGTACACAGGTCTTGAATTATCCTTTAGTTTTAAAGAGCATGTAAAGTTGGGTGTGTTACCAATGCATTGTTCAAAAACGCTTGAGAATCTTTGCTTGATAGATTTGACAATAGTGTTGGTATCAACCTCTGGTTTCTTCATATTAACAAGATTAATATTGTGTAAGTTAATTTTCAATTTTCGAATCCAATCCCTTCCAAGAATAGCGTTTTTAAGTAGATTTACAATGTATAGATCCTCTCTGCAAGATCTCCCTTCGTAAGATATGCTTAGGGTACAGACCCCGATTGGTTTGAAAATTTGTCCAGTATAAGATCGAAAAAGGGCACTTGTTTTGCAAACTGGAACATGTAAGTCTAGTTTCTTGAAGTCATCATTATTTATTATGCTAACACGACTTCCGGAATCACACTCAAAACGTTGCTGTTTACCATTTAGAGATACGTTAATCATCATTCTGTCATCTCCTTCGTCATTCTTCAATACATTTATGATCCGTTGAACGTCGTATTCATATTCAGAATCAATTTCATCAACTCTTTTTACATTTTTCTCTGAAGACTGTAATTCCTGTATTCGTTTCGCTATGCAAACATTTTCTATGTGTCCATCTTTATGACAATACCTGCAATTTAGTTCATCTATTAATCGGCAATTTTGTGTTTCGTGGTTATTCCTTCCACAGTGCAAACAGACAAATAAATGTCCAAGTCTTTGTAGCCTTTTGTTTTTCCTGACTTTCTTTTTACTTGAGTCATTAGAGAAATGGTTTTTGGTTGAGAAACTTTTATTCTTAGGGCCGATATTGTTCTTTGTTGTTTAACTTATTTTGTGAATGTCATTCTGGTTATTACTAGTATATAAAATCTGGTTGTCAAGTTTTGATGCCTCTATAGCCAAGGCGATTTCTAAGGCTTTGTCAAATGATATTTCCCCCAGTTGTAAGAGTTTTTCTCTGATGTCCGAGTCATATAAGCCTCTGATGAATTGAGCCCTGAGCATGAGGTTTATAACTGATTTTGTACATTTTCCTTCTTTACACCCAGATTTGAAATCTGCTGAACAAGCCAGTTGTTTGAGGACTGTGACATAATTTGTGATTGATTCATTTCCATCTTGTAAACGGGATAAGAATTTGTGCTGTTCTGTAAGTATGTTCTTCTTTGGGCTTAGGTGCTCATATAGTAATATAAGTAATTCTTGATATGTTTTTGAGTCTGGTTTGTCTGGAGATGTTAGACTACAGATCAGATTGTAGTGCTTAGCACCTAAGCAATTGATTAAAAATAAACCTTTCAATTGTTCAGTCTCTGAATCATTGTCTGTAAATCCTTTTATTTTAAAAAATATTTCTAAACGCTGAGTGTAGCTTTCAAACGTTTCCTTACTTTCATCATAAGCATCAAACATCAAGGCATTGCTCTGTAGTAGTTCCTTGGTACTATGTTTTGATCTAGGCTGTTCTGTCTGTTGACTTGTATGTTGTGTCATTAATGTCATAAAACTGTTCAAAGTAGATATAAGGTCTTGTATTTCAGTCATTTTCTTCCTCGTCACCAAATTATTAGATATAAAAATAATACAAAATATATGAACACAACTCTTGATACATTTTTATTTCTTAATAATAAATGTAAACATTGAATTATTTTCAATATGAAATTATTCCAGTCATATGATCAATATTAAATAAAAGATAGATTATTTGGAATATATAACATCAGCCTAAGGGGAGAAATATTGCATTAAACGTAAAAATAGGTTTAATCATTTTTCATTAAATGCACTCATTAATTACAAGAACGCATTTAGTGAAAATTGTGTGCAAAAGGTATCTGTAATCAAGTATACCCCGAGAAAACTATGTAAAATCTAATACTGTAGTATAGTACAACCCAAACTAGTTGTAGAGCTTTGATTTCCGCGTAAAAGTAGTGATATTTATGGGTCGCCGGAATTTTATCCCCCAGGAATTTTACACCTTGGGCAAAGCTAACGTCACTATGACGTAGTAACCCGAGTGGCCAAAGGTTTGTCCGCGGCCGTAATTTTACCCCCGCGGATTTGGAAGTCTAATGAAAATAGCCAGAGCGTGATTAATTAATTAGATTAGCGATAAAAACCGGAATTTTACTCCCTGTCCATATAACTAGCGTTTAGACAACTGAAGATGTACGGGCCGGATTTTTACCCCCGAAATTTTAACCCCCGAAATTTTACCCCCTGGCCGATTTTAGAAATTGAATGATTGATTTTCTTATTTCTGTTTTTAATTAATTGTAAACATTTCATTATTTAGTCGCCTATTTTTATTTATTTATTTTGCAACCTCAACTAAGTAAACAGAATTCGCTGTTTAATTTTGATGTTCGGGATTTGCGTCTGGGGCCAACTGTTGGTTAATAAGTATGTAAAATAAACTGAGTAGCTCATTTAAATGATAATTGGGTGAACATTTCTTCGTAAAGAAACAATAAGGCATATTTTATTATTGTTACAATACAAACGAAAAACATTGTTTACCACGGTTGTATAATAAAACGTTAAAGAAATCTTCGAATCAATTACCATTCTGATGTTTGTTTATACGTCATATTAATGAACAGTTGGCTTCAAAGATAGAATCATGATACTCGAATCTAAAAATTAAAAACAAAAACCTGTTCGATTAGTTGATGTTACAAATAAATTAAGATAGGCAAATTAATAATACTGTAACATGTTTACTTTTAAATTAAAACAGAATGAAGATAATTAATCATTCTCACTAATTTATATATCTGGCCAGGGGGTAAAATTCCGGGGGTAAAAATCCGGGGGTAAAATTCCGGGGGTAAAATTCCGAGGTAAAATTCCGGGGGTAAAAATCCGGGCCGTACACTCTAGGTTTTTATAATTTGATGCGTTCTGATTAAATTCACAACCGTGAAAATATATGTTTAATTCCACGTTTAATCCATCGAGCTGATGTCGCGAAACTCAGAAGTTCGCGGCCAGAATTTTACCCCCTGGTTTGTGACGTCACGTTTGCCCAGGGGGTAAAATTCCAGGGGGATAAAAATCCGCTACCCCGTTTTATGGGGTAAAAATGGGGTTTTCCCATTTTTTATCCTAAAACAAAAATTTGCAAATTTCTTTTTAAACCTGTTTGTAGAGCTTAAAAAATAAATAATTTAGTATATTGAAGCGCTGTTGTCTGCTGGTCACGGAGAAAATTTAAAAATAGTGTAATTAAAATGTTATTCTTATGGAGAAAATGAAAATTGTTGTAGTTTACTTGTTTACGGATATATAATGATAAAATTTGGCAAATTATTTATTTCATCCTATACTATTGACGTATGGTCAAAAAACACTTTTTACCTTCCCCGTAACAGCAAACCTAAGCACTCGTTAGATCTAATGTTATTTAAATTTGGAATAAATATGTCTTATTAATGGACGCATTTTAGTAAAAATGTAATCAGACAAGTTGAAATTCGCTTAGTCTGCAGGTTTGCTGCGGCGGGGGTATTTGAAGTTATTGCTCATACTATTATTTCCGAAAAACTTACCAGATAAAACCCGTAATCTCATACAAATATTGCAAATTTGATACTCTAAAACTTTATTTTTAGTACAAGCTGCTACCACTATGCACACCTGATGGTTATAATTTTCGCTAAACAAATAGTTGAAATTAAAGCAAACCTGCGTACTCAGCCATTTCCCAACAGTTTTTGACACGTTTTTGACCAAGAAAAAGATAAAAACCCTAACAGCTGATCATTTTTTTTAAATTTGTGCTCCTGTCAATACAAACTGTTTTATTTATTTATCTTTGTAACATAAAGTAACAAAATAATTTATAAATAAAACACTTTTTTAAAAACAAAACGTTTTTAAACGCACTAAAAAATAGGAAATAATATTTTAATATGTGGAGAGTATAAATACTTGTAAGATTTAAAACGAAAAACGTGGGGTGCATGCAATAGATAATTTACAATTACCTTAACCTATTGAACTAATGTATTATTATCAATAAAAGTTTTTTATTAAAAATTATTTTCTACTTTTTAGTGCGTTTAAAAACGTTTTGTTTTAAAAAAGTTTTTTATTACAAATTATTTTCTACTTTTTAGTTTTTAAAGTGTGCGGATGTTAAATCTATTTCAAGCATCTATATCAGATTAAGACAAAGACAAGTGGGAAATCTAAGGATTATTTCAGTTTCTTTTCATATAATTATGTATTAGATTGAATGTATGGCCTACCTACTAACTATAAACATAGACTAACGTGGGTCTGACTTAGGGGAGGTACGAATGAGGCATTTAGTTCAAAATTCCTCCGTGAACAGCGCTGTAGTAGAGAAAACTTTGGCAATGAAGGTTTACTAATCGCAAAAATAGTTCTGTTCATAAAATAAAATTATAAATGTCTCAAATTCGATTTAATATTTTTTAATTATAAAATTAAACTATCATAACCTAACCGAATTAACCAAACTTGCTGATAAAGAAATAATATAACAAAAGTTTAGTAATAGGAAAAATAATTCTGTTTATTAAATAAAACTAGAATTTGCTCAATTAAAATTTTATAATGACTTAATAATAAAATTAAACTGTAATAACCGAACCAAACCAACCAAACTTGCTGATAATAAAAAAAATCTTGGACAAAAAGTTAATGCTACCATTAAGATACGATCCCGGGACCTGCAGTATGTCAGCCCGGTACGCTAACCATTAGACCACCGAAGCAGATGGCTACCGACCGTTGTGTTACGGTAAAGGCGTTCCCTCAGCTAATAAGAAGCCCACAGCTGTCATCGTAGCGAATTCTAATACCTCCCCTGAGTAAATACCGACTAACGTCTTAACCTCTCGTCTTCAAACTGTCAAACTTAAGTATTTACAGCTGACTTAAATTAATTGATATATTTACATTCTTTCAAAATGTAAACATGGAAAATTTGGAAGCCCATGGGGTGTAGCCCAAGGGAAGTATGAAAATTAAATGATATAATATTGCATTGTCATCCATTTGTGAGCTATGTTTCAAATTTAAAGTTTCTAGCTCATCGGGAAGTTAGTATAAAATTGATTGCAAAGTTTGTACCGGACAAGAAAGCGAGCTAATAAAAACGTTTCAAC